GCTAAAAGAGGAGCTGGGGACTATGGCTCTCAAATAACTCAGCCAGTTTTATATTTAGCATTCGACCGAAAATAGTTAAAAGGTTAGTCAACAGCTCTTTCCTACTTTATATATGCTCATTCACAGAAACGAAATGAGTATATTGGTTTTGTATTGTATTTGTGTTTCAAATAGGAAATACTATAGTTTGGAGAGCTCTATACTTATATAATAATCGAAATGAAACATGCAATGCTTAACAATATTACAATTAAAATTCTTTGTCAAATTTATTGAATATTACATTTATTTATATATTTACTTTTATTTCCCATTATAGTTGGAACTTAATTTAATATTAATAATATATTGTTTATAATTATATTAAAAATGTCTTATGGTATATCAACTTCTTTATCATAGTAACTTATGCAATGACAAACAGTTTTCTTATACATTTGACATTGTTTCCAGCAACATTTCATATAATTCTAATCGATCGAAGGGTGTATAATAATTATTATTGTAATTATTATTTTATCTTAACCCATTAAAATTTACCCATGTATGTCTGTATATATATATAGTGTATATATTATATATATTTTATATTTTACATGAAAATAAAAATAAGTATAAATATATTAAAGAGCCGTAGAAAGATACCAGTCTCAATATTAGCCCTCTACAATGCTCAGGCAATCGCCCAGTCTTTCACTCACTCTGTCAATTCCTCATTATTTATTCTGTTATTTTGTGATTTATTTGCATGGCTTAATTGCAAAACTCTTTGACTTTAAAAATTTCAATTTCTATTGTACCCTGATGAGATTGACATTTGCAATTCTTTTTTCGATACGCATCACTTGTCGGCCCAAAAATAGATGCTAATTTAAATGGGAGCCGTTATTATGTGGCCCTATTTGTGAACGTCGGCTGGCGATGCCCGCAAATATTGTTATTGGCATTGTTATGGCTGAAAGCTATCAGCCCCAAGCAGAACACGTGCCCGCTGATTGATTTCGAAATAGAATGTCAATAAAAAACAAAAACAAACAGCTGAATTTAAATGTGGACGAGGGCAAAAATAAGAATTTAAATAAGCAGCCAAGCATCAAATTAAACAGAATCACGGACCCATTGAAATATGCACACATGCTCAATGCTGCGAGGTGCAAAAAACCGAAATGAAGGAAATGAAATGCCAAACAGACAAAGTTTCCGTTTCCTCATACCTAGCGCCATTGGTGTGTGTGTGTGTGTGTGTGTGTGTGTGCATTGACATTGAAAAACAGTTGGGTAAAGGAGGAAAAAAATACATATATATGTATATACATATACGTATATGAAAATATACATTATGCGGGCTAAAAGTTAGCTATGCACAAAACTTTTCTGATGCTGGGCTCGGAAAGTGAAAAGTAAATTTACGCAAAAGTGTCTAAAATGCACAGTGGAAAATGTTGAGTTATTCCTGGGGGCGACTCTTGCTGGGCGGGAGGGGCCAACTGGCAAAAGAATACGAAATGACAAAAAATGCGAAATGAAACGGAAGTTCAAGCTGATTTGTTTGCAAGCAAAGTCAGTGAGCGTCAGCGGCAGCGGCAGCGGCAGCCATTTTGGAGCGGAAGCGGAAGCTGCGCTTCAATCGTGCGCCTGATGAAGTTAGCAGCAGCAACAACATTCACAGCCACACACACACTCACACATGTCACACGGCGAGCTTATGAGTGAGCACAAATAAATTTAGCATAACAATACTTGGCAATTTGTACATGAGAAGGCGTCGCATATTCCGCTTACGATTTCAGTATAATGGCCATAAATTTGGCCAACTTTTCAAAATATGTGCGGCCGGAGGAGAGCAGGCGTTGATTTCCCCCATCGCATTTGAAACGTTTGCCGCAAATCTTAAGCGCATTTCATATTCATTGTGTTGATTCATGGCCAGACACTGCGGTCCTTAATGGCGCAGTAACGTAATTAAAAAAGGCATTGCGGCGACAATACTTTTTATTTTGGTTTTCGCTGATATATCACACAGACACACGCACACACACACACACATACTTTAAAATGACATTTGCAGCTGCACTGTGACAATACCCTCGAGCTGGACTCCCTGCCTGCAGCAGTAGCGTGCGAATTGATTGCGATTGTTGAGTTGATTGGCAGGCGAAATATGCGCAAGCTTGCGCACATATACTCACACACACACACATTTACATACAGATACATGTATGTGTGTGTGTGTGGCATCCCTGCATGCGACACTCACAAACAAAACCGGCGCTTTGTGGTTTCCATTGTTATCCATTTTTTTTTTCGTCTGTCTGCAGCTGCTGCTGCCGTTGTTAAATTTTTTCAGCCATTTATTTTAGCTTGTCGTTGAAATTAAGTTCATTCCATCTCTCTCCCCATGTTCTTTTTATTTATTTTTCTACTTGTTGAATTTATCTACTATTTTCTTTTTCCAGAGTAGCTCTTACCACGCACCAATTACAACGTTATATGATAAGTTTACGTTCGCGCTAAATTTGCCTGTGATGTGAAAAAAAAAGAGAATTAAGTTTCCCTATACAAAAATATTTAATGTAGCTAGCGTAAAAAACTTTATTTGCAATTATTTCGAAACACTTGCGGAAATCACTTCAGGTGAATTTGGCTTAAACGTATATAATATATTTACTTTGGATCAGAAACGTGTTATATGTATATACAGTAGCATACAAATTTTAATAAAAAGTGTATTTAAATTTATGTGTATATCATATTTGCTTAAATAAATTTACGATTAATTCCCTGTGCAAAAACTCAGAGAAGAAGAGTTCTATGTCACTTTTTAATCCCTATACTTGCTCACAAAGTATAAAGCGAGTTTATTGATTTCTTTACTACACCATTTACGCATTATATCTACTCTCTCGTTAGAGTTTTGGCTTATGGTATTTAGTTCAACGTATCAAATCCACATTGTTTAATCTTACCTATTCCATGTTTTTTTTTTTTACATTATTTTTTTTGTTACATTATGAATGAAAATTCCCGATTCTTTTGCGCTTGTCTCCAATTTTTTTTCTGTTTGTTTGTTTTTATACCCTGAACCCATTGAAAATGGGAAATCAGGGTATAATGGTTTTGTTAAAAGTATGTAACAGGCAGAAGGAGGCGTGGCAGACCCCACAAAGTATATATA